ATTTGAGGGCGGGAGACCTGCAGGGATTTGATTTGTTTATGAACTGCATGGATCATGGAATTAAAGGAAACTCCAGGTCTACTTTTAACCATGTTTATGTAACCTTCTTCTTAAGGTCACTGGTGTTTTCCCCCCTGCCAGCTGAAATGTCAGCTGTGTACAAATGAACAAAAGTTTCAAAGAAAAGCAAACTGTATAATAAATACCACAAAGGGCCAGAATCTCTACCTGGGACCTGTGCAGCACTCAGCTTCTCATGCCCTGACCAGACTGATGTTTGCCATGAAGCGGGGCCTCTCACTTGCTGCCCTGTGAGGTCACAGCACCTGTTCTTGGTAATTGCTGGCAGGTGACGTAAGGCCTCCACTTGTTTTCCATGGTGTAAGGTGGAGGTCCCCTGGCCCCCTCTTACATGGGGGCTGGAAAGTTATGTTGGTTGTTCGCGGCAAATAAGTGTGTCAGACTCTCTCAGTCGGTTCCCTGAGAGTGAAATCAACTTAGGCCTACCTGTAGAGGCAAATTAGTGAAAACAGAATGTAATCTTGTATTTTTATTTATGGTTTAGATATTTCTACCAAATGTAGTTCCCTGACAAACACAGTTTTGGCATGGTTTACGCATAATTGTGGTTTGATTTATATTTGTTGGTCACTTGGTTATTATTTATGATTACATAGTGTTGGGCACTAATCTGATATTCCTTTGTCCACCATCACATACTGTATGTTGCCTTCTTATCTATTAGGTGTAGGCGTGCCTAATAAATTAGATTTTTGCAGATATTTTGCATTAACATTGCTGTCTGTAATATATCCATAGAAGCATTTTTTGGCATTGCTTTCTTAGTTTTAGGGCATCCTCATCTTGTTTTTATGCAAACAGAAGAGACCAGAAGTTGGAGCTAACTACATCCAAATGCAGAAGAACATTTTTAACGGCGACCAAAATGTTACAGTTACTGCTACAAACTGAAAACACATTGTGAGAAGGTTAAAGTAATAGAACAAAAACATAGACTACACAAAAAGCTGACAAGACTGTGGTATTGACTGACCGGTCAATCACAACGTAGGCCTGCTTTGAAGCATATCCTGCTTTATCATCTTGACTCTAAATGGGACCAACATTTATACAAAGGATGATCAGGCTGTATTGAAGACTTGAAACTAGTGATTGAATCCATAAACTCACCAACAAAATATTTACTAAATTAATACATTTTATGAGAAGTAATTTACTTATAGACTTTTATACAAACAGACGTTTACAACCAATGAAGTATACTGTTGTTTTGTTGGAGGAGCCTGGGACTCAAGATTCCACTGCCGAACTACCCTTCAACTATTGTGCATATGACAATAAACCCTTTTTGATCTGAATCATTGGATTCACTTTTCAGACCTTTTGATGGTGCCACTTGGTTCCAGCTTTTGAAGCATTGTTTCATCTTTATATCTAGAATTGGTTCACATTGGGAAAACATACCGTTATAAAAGTGTAAATCATCCCAGAACCAAAGGCTGCATTGTTAAAGGTCCCATGTCATGCTTTTCCGGTTATTACCC